TATGAATAATGATATCATCCAAACAAGAAAATTATTATTAAATGATCATTTCTAATAGTAGAGATGCTGAGATACATTTTTTGGTTATTTTATAGTTTAAAATAAATTGTGTGATATATTTACAAAGATTTTTCTGTGTCATTTTTCATGAAATAAATAATTACTGTTACAAGATCAGTACTGTTGATCTAAAAGCTTTAATTATTGTGTCACATGTTATCATTAAATACCATTTGTATATTTTCATCTTACCATTCAAAAGAAATTATGCTAAACTTTGTGCTTGTGTAAATTAATATTTTATTCATCTTTAGACCAAGTGTGACACTCATAAATTTACTACATACAAATCTTTATATCATAAACATTAGCTATAATTCAAATTAAGAGATTTATACAACTTCTTATACATTGTGACTATTAATACTTATCATAAATATAACAGTTAATTCATTTTAAACTTCCAATTATCTTTTGATTAAAATGTTTTTTTAAATGATAATACATGAATTTTTATCAAAATTTTTTAGAAATATTTTAATTTTATTAGAAATTAATAAATTTATTTTAACAGCTATTATTAAATAATATACTATTATTTTGTATACTAAAATCTTAATTTAATTAACAAAAGAATTTCAAACAATAGGCGAATTCTAAAATACAAATGATAAATAGGATTATATATCATAAAAATTCATCTTTTAAAAAATAAAATACAAGAAATATTTGCAGAAATTGCAAGCTACTAATAAAATTGTCAGATATTAATTTATTACTGTTATTATTTTAATCAATGATTAATTTTGACTTAAAAATAAAATTATATGAAATGGTCACAAAAATTAATTATATCTACTTTATCATTAGTCTATATACTTTTTTCATTACTATTCTTTGCTTTAAGTAAATGATTTTATTATTTTCAAAATGTACATCAGCAAAAGAGAGATCAAATAAATAATAACTCATTAAAATTTTGAATATGTATAATTATATTATTATTACCTAAAGTTATACAGTCAAACTTTGATATACTGATACAATATATAATGATATTTGCTTATACTAATAATTTTTTTCTTTTCCATTTTACTCTTAATAAAAAATCTTGTTATATTAATATCTTATATTATTTCATGATATAATATATATTGATATTATTTTTTAGTCCTATATATAGTAACATATTAGAAAATCTGATTTATAAATTGATATATCAATATGCTAACTATTTAAGATTAGATCAAATGCATGATGCTCATTTTTTTTATTCTTTTTCAATAATGTCAGACAAAAGAAAAACAGCTCAACAACTATTTCAGAGTTACTTTAATAAAATCACAAAATATCAACTTTGTTTGAACTTTTAAAAAAAATCATAGCCAACTCAAGAACAACTTATTATTCAATATAGTATTAAATAAAATACCATTTCAGGTATTTTAAGAAATAAAGGCAAATAGTTACACATAGATATGAACTCAGAAGAAGGCAAAAAAACAAAGGGATAGGCCTGTACAATTTTCATAAGTAGAAGAAGCTATAGAATTATGGGTTACAAATGCATTTATAGCAGAACTTATTATTAATACTGATATTTTACGCGAAAAGGTAGAATTTTTCGTCAAGAATTTTGAAACTAATAACTTTTTAGCTTCTAATGGATGGATTTCTAATTTTAAAAAATGCAATAACATAAAGAAATATACTAAATTGAGAGAGACAGCAAGTGTTCCGCTGGAAACTTTAGATGAGAAAAGACAAAAATTACATGAAATTATTAAGGAGTATAATTTGAACGATGTTTTTAATTGTGATGAAATAAGTAAATTTTTTTATTTTGTAAAAAAATTTAAATTTATACATTAAATTTTTATTTATTTTAGGTTTGTATTAGGATTTTGAACTATCAAAGATATTATTAACAAGAGGATTACTTTCTGAAAAAAAAAATCCAAAAATAGAGTTACTATTCTTTTTCATATAATGCAACTAGATCAGAAAAATCAAAGCCACTTTTTATTCATACTTACCAAAATTCACGAGCATTAAAAGACAAAAAAAAGGAGAATTACTAGTTGATTATTATTGAAATTCAACTGTATGGATGCAGGTTTCTATATGAATGAATATCTTAAAAAATTGAATATGCAAATGAGATCACAAAATAGCAAGATCCTTTTATTAGTTGACAATACTTTTGTGTATATTATAAATAAAAATAATAATTTGACAAATGTGACTATATACTTTTTACCATCTAATACAACCTTTCTCTTGCAACCTTGTAATGCTAGAATTATCAATTCTTTTAAAGTTTGTAATTTATTTTTTTTTATTGCTAATACATATTTTTTATATTAATTTATAATGTAATTTTTTATTAATTTAGATGCATTATCAAAAGTTACTTATTAAAAACAGGATTAAAGCATATGAAATTTTACAAAAATTAAATAAAAAAGCAATTTCTTTAAATATTAATGATGCTATTAATTTTAGCAATAATGCTTAGAATTTTATTAGCCAAAAAATAATTAATAATTGTTAGAAGCATACAGGAATTCTTCTATGTGATAAAATGGATAAAATTGAAAATAATGATAATTGGACATTTTATGATGAAATAAAATTACAAAATTTCATTAATCAACTTCTATTTGATAATCTTATGGATATTAAAGAATTTCTTCATTTTGACAACATTTTTAAAAATTAATGAAAGATTGACAGATGATGAAATTATATCTATAATAATAAAACTAAATAATGATAAACCTAGGGTAGAACAAGATGATGAGCCTTTAGCAGTAATCTCAAAAAAAGAAGCTTTGAATCATTTAGATGATTTAGTTATATTTTTTGAAAATTTATTAGATACTTCTATTAATTTAAATGAATTAAATTTATTATAAAAATTGAGATATTGAATATTAAAATCACATATTGATAATTCAAAACAAATTATATTAGATAGTTTTATCCAAATTTTGTAATATTCCTAATAATAAAACATTACTAATAATAATTATATAAATAATTTGAATAGTAAATTTACAAAAATTTATAATGCTTTATTAAAAAAATTTAAGTTTACAGTTGAAATGGTGAAAAATTTTGTATATCAATACTGATTAAATATTCAATATTAATATCAGTATATAAAATTTTTTTATACACTTTATTAGTTTGAGTCTATAAGTGAGATCTAAAAGTATTAAGAATTTTATTATTAATGTAACATTTAATAAATTATAAATCAAAAAATATACTCTAAATTTTGAATAATTCTTGGATACTTTTTGATTATAAACTAATAAAGCTATTAAAAATAACAAATATGAAATATGTAAATTTATATTATAAACCTTTCTTTTACTTTTGATAAATCTAAATTAAAAGTTTAATTTTTCATAATTTTCATGAAATAAATATTGAAATTTTTCAACAAAAATAAGGATTCCAATATAAGTAATCCAGTCTATAATTTTAATAGCTGCATATATACAAGAGTGTTAATATATTTACAAATAGTATAATGACAAAAGAAAAAATGCTTACTAAACTCTTAAAAAAATAATAGGATTCCAAATTTAGCTATTCGTAAAAATTATAAGTAATTTTATAAAGTATTTGTCCCCTATATCATCAATAAAAAATACTAAATTCTTTAGATGTATTTTTTAAAGATTAATAATAAATTAGTTATTTTTAATCATAGTAATATTTATTACAATAGTATTTTGATCTAATTTTAGTAAAAAATTATTATATTTGAAGTAAAATGATCTACAGAATAAATTAAGTATTTTAAGTAATATAACAGTTTTCATAAATCTATGTAATCAAAATTCGTTCGTTAAATTTAATTACAGTGATTTTAAATTGCATATTTTAATTTGGTATATGATAAATTACATCTGTTAATAATAATAAATGAACATAGCAGTTAGCAAATATTGAAGTTCTTGCTTCTAAATAGGGATAGTAATGGTCAGTTGTGATCAGTCAACAGTCAGTTAACAATTAGTCAAAGACCTTTAATTGACAAACCAGTTAACTGACTAATTTTAACTGACCGGTTGACCAATCAGTTAATAATTGAGCAGTTTTGACTTAATAAAAATTTTAATTAGTCAAATATTATAATTTTGATTTTTACTTTAATATTAGTATGACATTTTTTAAAAATTAATTTATCATTTTAAATTTAGTAGCGTAGCATTATCATGAAATTTAATTTTTTTTTTAAATTTAAAAATTTTAATTTATAGATAACTAAAATAAAAATGTTGTTTTTGTTAATTTAATACAAAGTGTTTTTACTATTTAAACATAGTTGTTCAGTCTCAAGTCAGTTGGTCAACCAGTCAGTCAAAAGTCTTTGACTGATGATATTAGTTATAGTTATGATCGGTTATGACTAGTTATGACTGTGACCATTAGTATTCCTACTTCTAAACATCTACAGCTTTGAGAAGATGAAGAATAGATGCAATAATTCAACAATTTTCATAAAAATTCCGATCATAGAAAATTTTTGTGATTCAATTTTTAATATTATTTTTATATTCTAAAAGAACCTAATAAGTAAATTAAATAAAAAATAAAAATTAATAAAAAAATAAAATAATAAATTATTAAATAAAAATTAATATTATTAAAAAATAAAATTATAAATAAATTAATTATTTAATACTTACACTTATAAAGGCAAGTTCAAGTCTTGCAATTAAACTTATGCAATTTCACGTAGTTGACTATTGAGTTTTCTTATGACTTTTTAATTCTCCACCTTTAATTTGTAAAATTTTAACAGCATCTATTAAAAATTAACATGCCGCATGAGATATTGTAAAATACTGGTATATAACACCAACTTTTTGAACTATTTCTATGACATATATGTGGATGTATAAATCTTTTGTAATTAAATTAATACAGTGAGCAATACACTGTATATTTAGAATATGCAGGTATTTTTCACACAAAATTCTTCATGCAACTTGAGCTTCAAATGCATTATCTAAAACTACCACAACCAATTTTTCAGAACCAATTTCATCCACAATTTTGATGAATTCATCACCAAGAAATACTCCAGTATGATGGGAAATATCAGAATAATTCTTTGAATACCAGAGATATTCTTTTTGTTCTTCAGTAATTAAACAATAATCATATGGGAGGGTTTCTAGAAAAATCAGGTTCTGAGAAATTTTTGACTTAAATTAAAACTAAAATGCAATAAAAATCTCAATTTTGTTAAAAAATTCCCGGAACCTGATTTTCCTAGCAATCAACCCATATATTAATTGCCCGGTGAAGCAATATAATATTATTTTCTTCATTAATTATCCTATTAACTTTAAGATTAATTCTAGATATTTCTTGAACAATAAGAGTTTCAGATAGAACAAAATGGCTTGGAAGATTGTAAGTAGATTTGTCTTGTTTTAATAAATTCAATAAAAAAAGGATGCTCAATAAGAGCTAAATGGCAAGTTGCAACATACAAAAATTTTTGCCAATGCTTTATTGATTTGATCTTTTTTGATTAATGAAGTAGGAAAATTTTCATAATAGTTGTCAATATCAGTCTGCGATTTATCGGTTGATTTTCGTTTCTTATTAGATTTTGATGACGTAGTAGTATCATGACTATCATTATCTGAATCCTTTGTTAACATCATCAAAACGGAGATTTTAGTATCAGAATCAACTTTTTTACATTCATATGCAAGATGTTTTTTGAGTTTTGACACTTTTGCTGTTGTCCAATGGTATTCACAATAAGAACAAGTTGTTGAATAATATTCTTTAGAACCCGATACCTGGTCTCATTTTATAAACCACTCCCATATCTTACTAGCAGGGACGCCCACCTACTTTCTTTAAATCAGATGACATTTTTTAAATTTTAATATTTACAATTTATATTTTAAAAAAAATTAAATTTTAATATATATATAAAAAAAAAAATTAAAATATTCAAAATCGAACCAAAATTAGGCCGAAATTGAATTATATGTATATGTTATTACTTTGAATACCTAAATTCCATCTTCCACCAAATGCTGTTCCAACATCTAAATGGTTATATATGGCAAATTTTTTCTTACTCGTCTCTACTGGCACGATAAAGAAGCTTCAATGATAAGAGATACATCTTTGAGGTAAAACTAAGGTATCGGGTGGTGTATCTGGATCCATAAAATAACCAATGATGCTTTTATAAAGTTTCC